GCTTGCCCTTTAAAAGCAAGCCCAGGTGCACATTTTCCTCATCGCTTCCTCAACATTCAAGGAGGCGGCGTTCCCACCAAGTCTCAGGGGAAGTCCGGAACGTATGAGGTGCTCTGCCTCATCACAATGAAACATGCAGTGATGGCACGTGGGTAACTGCTCCCAGCACGGCTAGGCTTTTTCTCTGTGTCAGTTTTTTGGGATCTACTTTCAGAAAGTGTCATTCTTACCGTCCCTCTCACAGAATGTCTGAGCAGTGGTTCCTAAATACCAGCTGCAGAATGAACAGTCTGAGGGTGGTTGTTTAGGATGTGAATACAGATTCCCGAGTTCAAGGTACTGCGTTGTAATCTGGCAAGTGAGGGAGGCCCTGAAATCAGTGTTTTTACAAGTTCCCCGAAGTCTAGTCAAGTTGGGGGGCCATTTGCCCTACCTCTCACTTCTTCAGCCTCCTTCTGCTCCTTCAAGAGATTTACATGGAGCTTCTGCTGTCAGGTTTGTGGATTTCATCTCATCCTTATTGTCACATACAGTTATTCCCCTGTCACCTCTACCAGATCAGTTTCTTTATTTAAAAAAAATCAGTCTTTCCAATAACATGATATGTCCTTATTCCAAAACATCTAGGCCATGAAAACATCTGTAAGATTGTGTATAAAATTTTAATCAAAATATTAGGTTGGCACTGAGTATTTGTATAAAACACACTCATCCACACAGTAGGTGTACGAATCTGAGAACATGAGGGGTCTCATCAAACTCGTTCCTTAACGTTTTCTTCTACACTCTTCTCACAGCTGTCCTCCTTCCTGTCATATCTGTTGTCTTCTGTCTGGAATTTCAGTTTTGTCTGATCTTTATTCTCAAGTTCAGTTTAACCTCTTGACCAAGTCAGCACATTTTTCCCCCCTCCAACCTATTGTTTTATTTTCAGAGAAAACAATCCACCACTCTATTCTAGCATTCCCAAATCTTCCAACCTCTTCCAAAGTCAACTTCCCACTGAAAGAGACACTACTGCCTCCCAAGCTGTTCAGAGCTTCTTAATAGGTGTTATCAAACAGCATCTTTCATTCCCACAGGAGTCATCCAAATTAGATAAACAGTTTGACGAATCTCATCAGGCTTTCCATTAAGTCTCTGAGATCGGTCCCCACTGTATGGCACATCCAGCCAGACACTCTTTTACTAATTCTTGAATCTTGGGTTTAAGTGCTCGACGACCCCTACAACTGGCCCCTCCATCAGGCTCCCCTCACAGGGAGGAGGGCACTGTTCAGAACGCTACCTTCAAGTCTGGGGCCCTCTCAATGTTTGATCCCCATGAGCCTCCACTCTATTCAATTGTGAGCAATTATTCTTACTGTCTCCCCAAACCTGGTTTCATCTTTTTCTATAATAATAGAACCTCTGACTTTTGGCCAAGGACCTGGCTACCCAACATAAAGACTACATTTTCTCAAGTGTAGACATTTGAGTGGTCTGTGCAACTCTGGAGATGGCGTCTGTCTTTCCTCATTTCCTCCCTGCGCCCATGGGACTTTTGGAAGTGGCAGCTACTTGGATTGTGAATTTGATGCCAGGTAGTCCGTTTTAGACCATGAGGAAAGGACAGAATCCTGGGGAAAACATAGTACTTGGTTGCAAAGGACCTGGGCCTCTAAGCACTTAGGAACAGAGCCATCAGGGTACCCTGGACCACTTACTCTCAGGTATTGTTGACATATGAGAAAACCACAGCATATTATTTATGATATAGTTATCTGGGGATTGCTGTCACTCAACTAGACCTAATCATAACTGATTCACAATCGGTACCTAGAAACAGGGTGTTGCAAGTAAATGCACTCAAAATGAGTCATTAGCTTAGTGGATTTGGTAGGGTAGTAGACAGTTTAATGAAATGTTGCAAAAGATTTGGTTAAATCATTTCCAGGAGCAAACTATGTGCATACTGTGGCGGCAGGGAGAATTCAGGATGTTGGTATGTGTTGGCTACTTCATGCCACTTTGCTAAAAGCCCCGAAGGAGAAAGATAAACTAAGACCAGAACCAGCTCACTTGTGAATAGAAGTAGAAAGGAACATTCTTGGCTTGTGGTCTGCAGATTACCAAGTGCCCAGTCATTTGGAGTTTTGCAAAGATGAAAACCTAACTGGATTTGTATTCTAAATGGGTTGGTAAGAAGCAAGGGCTGCCTAAACACAGGTAGGACTCTGCCCCAGTTTGGTTTTCAGACACCTTCTCGTCTTTGTTCTCTGCCCAACACAGGAAGCCAGCTCACAGCCACGTGTCAATTCAGGGAGCTTGTCTTCAGATGCTGCAAGGTAGCCACTCTTTAGGTGAAAGAGGAAGGATTAATCACAGAGGAAAGTAAATGACAAGGGTTTTTATACTTAAAACTTCTATCAAGACTGGATCTTTGGCTAGGATTTACCCACACATGGAACAGATTGGGCACAAACAGATCAGAAGTTTACTAAATTTCCAAGGGGATTAAATGACCAAAGAAACCACAAACTTGGTCTGCAAAGTTCTCTCCAGCCCCTAAAATAATCCCTGGGCTCTGAAACCTGTGCCAGCAGGAAGCAGGATATAAAAACTGTGAAACTTCCCCTCAACCCCCCCAAAAAGGGCATGGCTCCAGTGTCCACCTCAGATGTAGTCACGGGGGAAAAATGGAAGAGAAGAAAGTCCCAGTGCAGAACCAGGGATCAAGGAGGACAAAGGTTAAAGGAGAGCTTCACAGGGGCCAGGAGGAAAGGCAGCCAGGCGGGCTAACCAAATTCTTCATGATTCTTGCCAGACGGACGCCACTGTTACTATGGGCTAGGGACGTGTGTTTTCCATTCTCTCTTTTCTAAAAGTCTATTTTTCACTGCAGTGATTTTGTTTCTATTTCAAAATTGTATACTGAGTGTGCAGGGGGTTGAGGGGGATAAATCACTGCCATGGATATAATTATATCAAGTTCTTAATTTTTTTTAACTTCTGATATCTTTTCAAATAAGAAACTTACAATTCCAAGCAAGCCTGTTTTTCTATCAAAAAGCATCAGTACAACCCCTGGATATATGTAATTTTTTGCTTCTTCGATAGATGACAAGTTAATTATGTATGACAGAGTAACCTTACGACTGTAAATGCAACCCAAACAGAGAAAAGAAGCAAAAAAGGTCATAAAGTTAAAAGTTGTGCATTACATTATACTTTAGATGCCCTCCTGCTGGTTTCGAAGGAAAACAGTTAACTTTATTCTGCTCTCCCTTGGTATTAGCTTCAATTTCCTTTTCAAGCGCCTCAAACATACAATAAGCTTTTGATTATCAAGATTTCAAGTGTCCTACTAGACAGCCAATGTGTATTTATGAATGGAATTACTAAAGAAGCAACTTGACTCCATCTAGGGAGCAGTTTCTGCGAGCCCTGAGCGATTCTCTGCGACTAAAGAACTGAAGAGAACTCGCTGGCCTTACTTTCACAATTGTCTTGGTACCTCTAGGGAAATGCACAAAGTGTTGCTGAGAAGCACAGATTGTGCATTTCTTATTTGTTTATTTATACCCCACCTTATTCCAGGAAGGATTTAAGATGGCTTAAGGAGATGCATATGGTAACACAAATAAATTCACATAAGCAGAGAAAGTTGAGGCGAAATTAAAAGTGTAAGAAAGAAAGACATTACCAGTAATGCACTTAGTATATAAAAAGTATGTCATGTAACTGCATACCTCTGCCAGAAGTGGGCCACCATTTTGTCTGTTTCAAGGAGAGAATACCATTAGTTACGCTTTCTACAGTGTTCTTAAGATAAATACCAACCAGAATCTCCAAAGCAGCTTGACTGCTTCAGAGAGACACGTGTCCAATGGGTTCTCATAGAATGGATAATGTCCTTAATTTGCTTTACAGCAAATACTTTTTTCAGATTATCCCTTATAACACCCCTCACTATGGATCGATGAAACCATTCCAAGGCACATTTAGGTTAACGATACGGTGCGTGGGGGTGGTGAGGCAATGCTAGGGATCCAGGTATACACACCTCTCACGTTGACTTTACCTAAGGATAGAGTCTGAAATGCCTAGAAGAACAGAAGAACTGCAAATCCTTGTAACAACCATTTTCCTCCTTCACATTAATTAAACACCTATTATATGCAAAGCGCAGTGCTAAATTCAAGGCATAGAGTCCTTAAAGTACTGTCAGTATCTGTTTTTATCTGGGGAAGAAGATGACAGATGTTTATCAAAGAATCTCAAAAATAGGCATATAATTATAGCTGTGATAAGTGGGCTAATGGAAACATCTGGAAAGTCAGTGACAGTTAATGAGACAAGGTGAGAAATCCAGTGGTATCAAGGGTAAAAGAGAGGACAGTGGGAGTGCAGAGGAAGGGTAGGTTATAAAAGCAACCAGCACACACCCTGAGGCAGAAACATCTGCATACACTTGACCACTTGAGAAGGCCGGTCTGGCTGGAGGCTGGAGGGCAGGAGAAGAGTGTTGTGAGACCCGCTTAGAGAGCAGGACAGAGGCCAGTCCAGACCGCACCTTGCAGAATGAGATGAGGATTAAATTTTAACCTAAGAAGACTGGGAAGCCACTGAAAACTTTTGAACAGGCAGGCAGTGGTTCAAACATATTTGTACTTTTAAAAATTGTTCAGGGTGAGATGTACAGACTGGAAAGGTTAGGGCGGGAATAAATGTGGAGAGCAGCGCGAGAAGGCTCTCAAGGTGCAAAAGACAGTGTGGCTCAGACTAGAGTGTTGTGATAGAAATGAAAAGGTGAGAATGAATTTGAGAGCATCTTCGAGTTCAAATCAACAGGACCGATATTTTTGCTTCCAAGAGACTGAAATAGCTATTGATGGGCAGTGTTTTCTGAGGATAAATTTCCTAACAAGTCCTTGCAGTGCAGTTATTTTATGTGGCAAGTTAAGTACAGAGCCATATGTTTTAAAAGCCAGCTATGCTGGGGACAGAATGAAAAAAACCTAAGCAGCCTGGATAGAGGCCATCTTATCTCCCCTTGAAGATGAGTAGTCAAGACCCAAGGCAGGGCCAAGATTCTCTTCAGAGAGTAATTCTTTCAATCCACCTGAATGCACAGCAGTGGAGAAGACGTCAATGTCCTCTGCCATCAAGTGTGGCTAGTGAGAATTTTAATTGGACAATTTACATAACAGATTTTTCAACCTTGACCATTAAAAATCTCAGGGAAGCACTCATGCCACCCGCAATTTCGGTTGCATTTTCGGTAGTTACGTGTGCCTTCAACAAAATGAACAACTCTTTGCCTCACTTTTCTAGATGAAGTGAATTGCTACAAAGGATAATCAGATTGAAGCTGAGGTGAATTTGCAAACAATAAAGGCTTCTGGGTTTGGAGGAATTTAGCTCTTCTTTCAAGCAATAGCTGGATAACAAGGCCATTTGTCAATTAAGACCACACCTAGTTTGCGATCTTAAAATAGTGGCGTCTCGTGAAAACTGCTTATCTCCCTAGCCTCTGGAAGTCTCTCGTCTCTGGGGAACCCATTCAGATCTTCCAGTATGGTGTAAAGGGGGCTGCTCGAGTCTTGTCTCATTTTAGTCCACTGGGAAGGTGCCCATTCTCAGCATATCCCAGAGCAGGGTATTCATGAGCATCGATTGCCAGGCATCCTCATGGAGCTCCTAGAGCTTAGAAGACAGCTGGTTCCCATCCACAGAAGCAGAGGTTATGGCATCAACAATGTCTCTAACCCTACCCGTGCCACATGTGAGAATAATACTGAATTGCAGCATTTATGTGTCAAGCACTATTCTGAGAGCTTTATCTTGCTTCAAAACCAACTTATTTTACAAATGAGAAAACCAAGGCACACAGCTTGGATATATTTAAGGTCACAGAGCCAGGATGTTGCTGAGCCCGGATTGAACTAGGCAGTCTTCTCTGCTATCTGTGCTCTTAAATGCTCTTCTTGGCTGCCTGAGCTTGCATGCTCAAGAAATGGTCGGTCAATTTAGATGGACATGTGTAGTAGTATTTCCTACTTGGTTTTTCTTTCTCTCTTATTATTTTTTTCCAGGAAAATCAATGTTCACTGCTTCAGCAAAAGAAAATGCAGTGATGCTCTGTGAACGCCATAGCTCTGAGTACACAGGAAGCTTTCAAGCCACAGCTCACTCACATTCAAGTCAAAAAGCCAAGGAAGATGGAGCCTGAGACGTGACACATTCTTGGTTGTGACTTCTACCATTGAGTTTGCTGAAATTTACTATGATATCCCACTGGCAGGGAGCTGAGCGGTGTTTCTCATCTATTTCAAAATATGCTTTATTTAAACACCAAAGCAAACCACTCAGGCATCGTCATAGGGAACTCCTTCTCTTGTTTGTGTATTAAGTAACTCTGTACTTCATGCCAGACTATACAGAAAGACAGGTGGAATCCCTGTGCTCAGTGGAATTGCATTCAGAGAGTAACCAGCACATTCCGTGTGCCTCGCAAAGGTGCCCCCAGAGGGGTCTGTTTGTGCTGAGAAGTCACTTGTTGGGTCCATTGACCAGCTTCCTATTTCTCAGGGAAAGTGGAGACCACCAGGCAAGAACTGCCTCTGTTTCTTTTCTCCGATGCATGAATCTATCTGTACTACCTGGCCTTCTGTTCTTGGAGGTGGCTCTGTAGCTGGGCCTCTACAAGATGGGCTGAGGAAATAAAACCTGCTGGTGCAAGAAAAAGACAAGAGAACAAACACTGGGGAGGCTGTGGAGAAAACAGAACCCTAGTGGGCTGTTGGTGGGATTGTAAACTGGTAAAGACATTATGGAAAACAGTAGATGGAGGATCCTCAAAAAGTTAAAAATAGAACTACCAATAGCCTTTGGCCCTAAATTCTGAATGCCCACGAACACCCCTGGACCTAAGATAGAGCCACAGCCACTGAAGCTGTGAGTTAGAGGCTGTTCCTGCTTCCTTCCACACTAACACAGGATCCTGGATGGGAGAGGCCAGCCAGCCAAGCCTCAGCCTTGTCCCCACAACCTAACTGTGTGGGGCATGGGAACGCAAGCGTCGGGCTTTTTGACTTCCCCGAACACACAGTAGCATGTTTCATGTCATTGAAAGCCAAGACTCGTTAAATTTTAGGGTGATAAACGGCATAAAACAGAAAAAACTGCAAAGACAAAAACTGATACATGCAGCATGGAATTAAAAATTTTGTGTGATAAGAACGCTAAATTATAAAGTAAATGAGACAATCGGGGGGGAAGGAATAATAACACATAAGCTAAATAAAACTCTAACAAGCTTATCATATAAAAATTTCTCTAAAAGTAATACAAAAAATCTTTTTAAGGGAATGACAAAGGGTAAAAGTGGACAATTCACAGGAAAAATAAAGAATGTGAGAAATTCGGGGCCTTTCCCGGTGTCTATGCCATCTCATGGATGAGGACTCGCTGGGGCTGCAGAGCTGAGCCTATGAGTGGCTGTCAGTGTTCTACTCCCACCAGCTGTGTAAGAGGATGGAGTAGAAAAAAGAGGGGAAATTGGAAGTCAAGTCCAAGAGAAGTGACACTGAGCACGAATGAGGTATATAGTGAAAAATGAGCTTAGGACAGCAGCCAAGGCCAAGTCACAAGGTTCAGGAGGCTCTCTCTTCAGACTATCTCATTTAATCCTCAGACAGCTACAGCACCGGTATCTTTATAATGCCTCTTTTACAGCAGAGGGAACGAAAGCTCAGAAGACTGAAGCGACTGCCCCAAGGGACCCCGTCATGTAGAAAAGCCAGAATGTGAAAATGCTGATGTTCCTCGTTTACTGCTGTTTTAGTTGTCAAAAATATTTATGGGATTTGCACGGCCAGAGAACAGAGCTGTGACTGATGACCCACAATCATCAGAGCTGATTTCATGTACTATCACGTCTTAGACAATCACACTTCATTTCGCCCTGGAACTTGGGAGAATGACATTGTCGCTTGGGTGGGGCCCTAAGAGCCCCGGGGGTGGGTCTGTGGGTGTTGCGATCTGCTGCACCTTGTTACATCCCCTGCTTCTGTCCTGGCCAACCTCACGCTTGGTGCAACCTTTTTTCTTAAGGAACAACGGTCTAGACAAAAAAACTCCTCCCTGGGCAGAAGTGCCTCCAGAGAGATGCTATGCGAACTCTTTGCGCCCCCCCCTCCTTCCAGCCCTTCCCCGCAGGCCACCCGCCCCTCTTCCTCACTCTTTGCAGCTGCAGAATCACCACTACATCCCTGCTCATTGTAAGTGACCAGACTAGGCAAATAGGAAGACGAATGGTTGGCCAGGGAAATTTGGGCCACCGTGATGGGAAAGGTGCAGAGGAAAACATTACGGCCTGAGCCCCTTTGAAACAGGCTGACAGTTGACAGATGAGTATCCATAAAATGACAAAGGCCTCCCTGTGTAAAGACCTTTGCCACCAGCGCTTCTCCCTGGGAAACTAACTGCCCTCAACTGTCAGTGAAAATATTATTTTTTTTTCCTGGTGATTATTCCCGTCCCCGTTTCTCGGACCACAGAATAGCCTGCACTTTGCATATGTGGGTTTTCTCCATCATGGTGGCTGTGGCAACCCCTGGCCCCCGATTCTCTCAATAAGAGGTGACAAGTTATCCTGGTGATTAAATGGTTATACCCGGGATAGTGAGCTGGAATGTGCAACTGTAAGATCTAATTGTGGTTCCGAGGGACAGATGCTGGGAGAATCCTAAGATTTTTTTAAAAGTAGTGTTAAGAATCCCTAAAGGATCCATGAAAAAGACCTGGCTGTATTTACAAAGCTTTGAGTCTGCAGCGGACAATGGATACTAAAAACAATGCTGCGCACAGCCTCAAAGAAGCCCTGCTGATGTGACTGCGGGTTTCGTATTCTGTTTATTTGTCTGTCCCATCGCCGTGGGCAATAGAGAGTATGAAAAGGGGAGGAGAGGAAAGAGGGCAAACTGTGGCAACTGTGAAATAGAGGGCGGGCTCTTCTTTCCCTCCGGACTCCTTTATCTTGGGAATCCTCTCAGGAATTTGAAGGAGGCATTTCCTCCTCTCTGACGACAACTTTGGATTCAGAGCCTGTCTTGATCCTTTTCTCTAGAGCACAGCTGTCCAGCAGGATTTTCCGTGATGACAGTCGTGTTCCACGTGTGCGCTGTCTGACTGCCTGATGGGTGGTCTCACGTGGCTACTGAGCACTTGAAATGGGGCTCATGTGAACGAGGAACTGGATTTTAATTCAATTAAATTTGGATGCAAGTATCCTTGATTAGTCATTGGACAGTGGAGCACTAGACCCGCCAGCGTGTCCACCTTAGTGCCGTATGTGAAGTATTCAAGTCCTGTGGGTGTAAACTTCAGAGGAGAATTAAAAATGAGACACACAGCTCAAGTACAGAATTTAACTGGATTCGGGCCATTTAACACGAGGTTAAGCAGCAACAGAGTCTTTCCAGGACTTCTATGTAGTCTCCTCTCTTCCTGTCCATGAGCCTTTCCTTCAGAGACTACCTCTGGAATGTTCTACCTCCTCCTCGAGCTCGGACTGGACTCTGTATTTTATGACTTTGAACAAGAGAGTGGATCCTTTGCTTTTGGGGACTTCAAGCCCATTTCCATTGGCTTCACATAAGAATTTCCTCCCTGTCAGCCTCCTGATCCATCGACTTGGCCATGACTCCTGCAAGGTTCTAGTCCCCTCAGCTCTGAACTTGCTGTGTTTTTTCTGCCAGTCCTTCCTGCCTTTGCTCTTCCACATATCAACTTTCTTCTGCATCTTCTCTCCCTCTTCCTACCATCCTTAGTTTGGCTCTTTACCTGCTCTGGAATCCCTGAGCCACCCACTCCCCTTGAGTAGCTTCAGAGTTCAAGGTCATACTAGGTTTGTGAAAGAAAATGTTCTCATCATTTTCCAGATTCCTAGCATTGTTTCCTCACAAATATTTATAATTTTAAGCTTTATCTTTTACATTTTACCACATTTACTTTCGTTCTCTTTTAAGTTTGCTTTTCAGTCTACCGACCTATCTGGGAAGATGTCAGAGATGTTCTTCTTTGTTTTTATCGCTGTTATTTCATCTGCCCTCACGTTCACACACACACACACACATACCCCAGAGGTATATATTAGAGTAATTCATTAAACCATAATATAAACTCAGTGGAGAGAGGCTGCTGTTTTAAATATGTGTGCCAGTATTTAATTAGAGATATTCATGAATACATTTTATACTCCTCCCCACTTCACCCCCAAAATACTTCTTTTCCATTATCATTAAACTAACATGACAAAGTATAGATAAGCACTTCACAGCTTGTACAGCACTATGTAAATGTAATTTTGTCATTACATTTGTCTTGGAAGACAACTTTGCGGTGACCGTCTCAGAGAGGGGTAGTGGCTGCCTGCCTTCCCTGGAAGATGCCAGCCTGGCCAACATGGGGAGGCCTCAGCTGCCATTCTCTGTACACAACTCTGTCCCCATGGCTGCCTGGGCTAGAGGTGGGGACCCGACCCCTGCCAGACAAATGACATTCTCCCCCTGAGGACTTTGGTTTGTGATAGAAAGACAGGCGGTCTGAGCTCATTACATTGGAGGATATGAAAATGTGAGAAATTTACAGGGGAAATCTTGTACCTTCCAAGTGGATGGACAATGTGAAAAAAAAAATAGGTCTGTGGGAGACAGAGAGAAAGAGAGGGATATTAGGTCCATGGAGAGAAGCAGAAATGAAGTATAAAGGCTGAGTTTTGTTGACCCTCCCTGGTACCTGGCTGCTTTCCTATTCTTTGTGCTTCGTTATATTTACATGAATGTTTGTTTCTGTTACTTAGAACCAAAGAGTTCAAACTAGCACAGCGGAACACTGAGAAATTGAAAATCCAGAGCATAATCTAGTTAACTCCATGTTGCTCTATGGTTATTGGCTATCACCCCTGGGTCTGGCCAGCCAAAGTATAAAACCATGTTTGTCATCACAAAGGTGAGGAGAACTAGAGGATAAACACAAATTCATCACTACTTCAAGAATCACAACACACCGTATGTTCCATGAATGGTTCAAGCCTTATAACCAGCAGGGAAGACACAAGGTGTGAGTAGCCATGGCCATGGTCCATGAAGCACCTGTACAATTGATTACTTTTGTAGTGTCAGGGCTTAGGGAGTCCTGGGCGGCACCCCCAAGAAATCCACTGCTAAGTTCCCTCTTGTCAGGCCCTCTGGTTCTCATCTGTGATAAACACAACAGGAATTCCAACCAAGTCACCTCTAGCCAATATTTTATTTAGGATGTAGGTACATAGGCCCTACATCATCAGATTTGTAGGCAGCTCCTCAGCCAACCCACATTACCAGTGTGTCTGGGATTGTGTGTTGTGATACGTGTGGTGTGAGGGGAGGAGGGAGGCCTGGAAGAGAGAATGCTTGTGATGACAGAGTTCTAGTTCAACCGACATGACCATGTCTTTTGTGTCTCCGGCTTGCAGTGACACCCATCTCCTCTCAGTTACCGTTTTCATGTTTCAGCTGGGAAACGCTATCTTCTCTAATACATATTTTCACATAGCCTATTAAGACCAGCATCTTTGATTCTTTGTCTAATTTAGGCCATACAAATGTGTATTGAGGTGCTTTTTCCCATGTTACTAGTCATGAGAAAAGACTTTTATTTCCTCTTTGAGGGCCTAGTTCAATGAGGAGAAATGAAAGGGCAGAAACAGGTAACTGTCCTTTCTTAAGGCAAGTCCTGCTGCAAAGGGACACTTACTCATGCTTTAGAGAAAGGAGAGAAGAGAGGTCTACCCATCTCTGAAAGGAGAACTGCCGCTCAGACACCACAGGAGTAGTGATGCTGTGGACCAGGATGCAGGGAGGCGGCCGCAGAACCCGGGTCTGATTCAACTGCCCACAAGCCTCTCTAATCAGATCTGGGGCATTTCTCTTAACTAACCGCAAGAGGCCTCTTTCTTCATCTGTTTAAAAAAAAATGGAGATAATAATAGCTGTTCTACATGTCCTACTATAGTTGATATAACGAGCAAATAAAATAAGGTATAAAAGTACTTAGAATGAAGCATGTTGACAATGTAAGCAAGACTTATTTTTTTTCTTTTTTACATTTTTATTGATTCATAATAATTTTACAGTGTTGTGTCAAATTCCAGTGTTCAGTACAATTTTTCAGTCAAACAAGTATACATTTATATATAATATATTTTGTTAAATTATATGTTAATATAGTATATGTTGTTACATGAAAATTATTATACATAAATTATAATTTTATATAAATATAATTATATTAAATATAATTTATTTATGTGTGGGTTTTCAAGTCCATTCAATGGTTTCTTTTGACCACACTCTTGACCTCACATCGCCTGTCATAAAATACATTTCCAGACATTTTATCTTTACAAAAAGAATACTTTACCACAGATTCAAGATAAAAATAGAAATTTGCAGCTAAAGGTCTACAGGGGAGAAAAATCTAAATGAGTCCATTAACGATAACTAAAAAGTCAGTCTATAACAAATGGAAAAGGCAAGTAAACAGTCACATTTAATGAAATCTAGTTAAGGAAATAAATCACTCTCTGTTTCTCTTTTCCCCAATGCCACTGTTTCATGACTAGGTTTTTGAAACTAAGCATTTGGAGATAAAGTTAATACTAAATGTGGTTTCTCAACTATTTAAATAGCAAGTCTTTCTCCCATGTTTACTTAAATGCAAACACAGAGCTGCATGTAGTCCAAACACTGAGGGCTTTATATACTAAGACGATGTAGTATCAGTGCAAATGAGAATCTACGTGATAAGAAACATCAAGCTTCTACCTTACTCTTTTCTGTCCCAAATGGAATTTCTGCAGATAAAATCCTTGAAATTAATGATTTGAAAAGATTAACTTTTTAGTATCATAATGAAAACCGAAGCTGATAATTAGCCTCTTATACTACTCATTTGTATGGTTGAGATTCTCATTTAAGCCATCAGAAAGTCACTTTTTAAAAACTGTTTATCAAATATTCCACATTTTTCTTAAACAAATATAGATTTATGGGGTGCTTATTATATACCAATTGATAGTCTACACACTTGAACTACATCTATAAGCAAAAGAAAATTTATTAAAAATTTGAAGGTAACCGAGGTAATAAAATGTTTTTTTTTGGCTTATCTACATAGTATTGCCTTAAATATGGTTAAAATAGATAATAATTTCTGTTTTCTACTCTATGAAGGTAATAGTTATCTTTCATAAACCAATGTTCTATTTTAACAGATCAACAAGAAGAAAGAATTTTTTTTTAATCTGAATTCATTTGACCTTGCAAAGTGTACAGTGGTGCTATATTAACAAAACAGATTTAGTTCAAGAACATCCCACCATCTCTCCTTTTTTCCTTCCACATTTTGATGTGCGTGTTAGTAGTTGGAGGTAAAAAATTAATAGACATAGTTTTGTTTTTGTATTTTGTCTATCCTTCCAAGAAAATTGAGTGTACAAATAAAGTTTAAAGGGGATGGGTATAGCTCAGGGGTAGATCTCATGCTTAGCATGCACAAGGTCCTAGATTCAATCCCCAGGACCTCCATTAAAATAAATAAATAGATAGATGATAGATAGATAGATAGATAGATAGATAGATAGGTAGATAGATAGTTAGATAGAGAGACAGACAGATAATAAAGTTGGAGACCATTGCTGTGCATGGCAGAAGTGAACACTCTTGTGAGCACATTTCCAGCACAGGAGTAGAGTGAAAAGAATACAGGATTAAAAGACGAGGTTGTGGGTTCTACCTCATGCCTTGATGCAAACTTGTCTAAACTCATAACTGCATTAAATCCCCTAGACATAAGCTCCTGCATCCGCAAAATTAGAGTTGGATCAGATGACCTGAAAGATCTTTTTTAAATATAAAATTCTCTAATTCCCACTGGTAGAAACAGTGTAGGACATAGATCAATATGTAATTCTGGACATGAAGAAAGAAATGCTACAAGCAAATATATCATTAAATACTACTCTAAAAAATTACAAAACAGAAGGCAAGTTTTTAACTATAAACAGATTAAAACTGTAAAAGCTATGAGTTATATTCAACTCCTAAGACCACAGTAGCCTGTGGGAGGAAAAAGGCATGAGTATAAAATTAACCAAATGGCAGCTTTTGCATTCCTACCTGCAAGAACTATTGAGATGTCTCATAGCCCAGTTTTTCTCTCCTCTTTGGACAGGACCAAATTATGTTAAAACCTTCCTGTCATTGCTGTATGTGCTGCTCTGTGCCCTGAGGCCACATGCCTGTGAGAAAAAGTGTCTGTGTCAATGGTAATCACAACCCACCTGGCCCAAAGATACTCAGAAAATGCTTATTCCCAGATCCAGCAACACCAACTTCACTGCTTTGGTGGCCCCCGATGACATCTCATGGAGATGGGTGAGGACTTCCTCAAAGGCTTTTATTCTGTGCCTGGCTTCTTCCATTCTTTGTAGTTTCTTCTTTCAATTAATTAATTCCTTCAATACTTTTTAATCAATTATATAGTATATGGAAAATACTGTGCTAAAAACCAGGGACACAAAGATATTCTTGGTAGACAGTGTGGCAGGGAAGATAGACATAGAACACATAATTACAAGTGTTGGGTAAAAACAGAATCTCTAGGACTCTGTAAGAAGCTATGGTGAATTTCCCTTAGGTAAGTTTGGAAGCCATTTGAGTGGCACCATACAATCATGAATTATAAGTATCTTCTCAGGGGCCATCAACAAGCATCTCAAGATTACACATAGACATGTCAACCTGTCCAACTTCCAACAGGTTTTCTACCAATCTCAGAACCATTTAGGTCACCTTTGTCTAACAGTCTTTTATGTTACATAATTCTGGGGCCAGACTGTTAGTCCCAAAGTTGCCTTTACAATACAAGGTCCTTTCATACCAGGGTTCATGAGTTAGGCATGCCACTGAATGGTGAGAACATGGACTGCCAGGTTCAGATCACTGTTACAACACTCTCTGGCTGTGCAATCTTAGGTAGTTAGTCAACTTCTCTGAACCTCATTTCTTTACCTGTATAACAGAGGACTAATAGGGTTATTGTGAGGATTAATTGAGACATCTGTGCTTTGCACATATCTTGTTCATAATGGGCTGTCAAAAATGCTAGCTCTTGTTATTCCTCTCCTCCCTGAAATCCTCTTTCAATATGTGTGTATTTTGATTACTACTGAAAGGAAATGAAAAAAATTTAAATAGTGGATCATAGTGATAAAATTGTAGGTGATGGTTAATGATGTCTCAGTCTCTGCTACATTTTGTTCATCAAATATGTATCATATATTTAAACTTTTTCTTTTACACAGGTAGTACCTATTTATGGTATATAATGTAGAAAATCAGGAAAGTAAAAAGAAGAAAAAATAATCACTCATAATCTCATAATTTAAAGATGTCTATTGCCAAAGTAAATTTAATGCTAGGTGAAGATGGTAGGAACCTTGTTGGAAAACATCAATCTCATATTTAGTAAATAGGGCACAGATCCTGTTGAAGGGCTGACTTGAAAGGAGAGAAAAAGGGACTGACATGCTCAGATAGGGTTTTGGCTCGAGGTTCATGAAGGCCCCATCTCTCTCCATATAGCTAATCCAGGCTGAGGGAGCCCAAGTCTAGGAAATCATCAGAACCAAGAATTTCCAGCTCACTCAGTTCTAGCAATGGGGCTCTGTGAGCCTTGGTCACCCTGGCCACTGACCTTCCTCCCTGGGAAAACAGAGATAATCTTTGAAGACTCTACTTCCTTTTATCAAGTTATCTCATAAAATACTTAGTCTTATAAAATACTTAAGCTGGCCAATCTTCAAAAGTAGAAAGCAGAAATAAGGTAAAAGTATTTAATGCTTATAAACAACACAGAGTGAAACTCTTAGAGATGGATAAAAATATTTGGGTTCTACAACCAAGGATGGCAAATATAATGCTCCATGCATGGGCCAGAAGTAAATTGAATATCATTTAGTTAAGCATTTTGATTTTGTTTAATGGGAAGTTAATTCCTGAAATGGCAAACTGTCTCTTCCACGTGGCAGAATATAAATGGAATCCAAACCTACCTGGTTCTCATTTGGTTCTCTGGTTCCCATTTCTATACCCACTCTGGATGAGTATATTTGAGATCCAAAGTGAATGTCTCGACCTGCCCAAAGGCCTTCCTCACCCTGGCAGAATGAGATATGCAGGTGTCCTAAGGCAAAAGGGCCACCAACAAAATTTAAGTAGGAAATAAAAGAGCCTAATGGAAAGAGAATAGAATATAGATTCAAGAGACATGAGAACACCGTTTACCATCTCTGTGACCTTCAGCAAGACCCTTCACTTCATTAAACCTAATTGTGTCATCTTCACACTGGAAATAACAATAATTCTTTCCCTATGGGCTTCAGAGGGCTACTGGTGAACTCTTTGTAAATAGTAAAGTGGTATTTAAACACAGTATGTGATAATCATTGTTATATGCCAAGAATTAGTGTGCCAGTGAGATCTAGTTTTTAGACAGAGAGCTGAATTAGAAATTTAATTGGGGATAGATATACTAAGAATGAAAATGTCAATTTTATTTACTTTCTTTAAAAGAAAAATAGTGCCAGCTACAAGAACTAACTCAAGAGTTCAAGTTTAAAGAACACCATCTCCGTTTTAATTAAAGTACATAAACCATGGCCTATAATGACAGCTACAACCAAGAGGAGATGATACTAAAACCAGTAGTTTCCTGGCACCATTCCACTGGAACTAGTCTGTTTAATAGAGGGTTGGTAAAGAGCTACAGAACAGGGTATTCTCTATTCTCCTTTGAAGAGAACTCCCTACTGGCAGGTCTCTGAAAATCCAATTAGCAACAACTGTCAGAAATTAGCTATTGAAGATGACATCTATATAAAACCTAAACGCTCCTGTC